CCTTTCCCAATCCACCTCACCCACGGCCCACTCACCCCACCCACGGCCCACCTCAGCTCAACCCGAAACCGAAGCCCAACTTCCACCCCACGGCCCAATACCCAGCCACCCCATGGTTACCCGATCCAAAGCGGGCATAACCCGCCCAAGACATATCCTCGATCTCAGCACCACAGCTCAAATCTCCCCACTCCCCCCTACCTACCGTAGTGCTCTTAAGGACCAAAACTGGTATGATGCTATGTGTGATGAGTTTAAGGCTTTGATTAAAAACGATACATGGGAACTTGTACCCCCCCTCCCCCACACAAAATGTTATTACTGGTAAGTGGCTCTTCCGCCACAAATTTGGCCCTACAGGTGATCTGTCCAGGTATAAAGCTCGGTGGGTGGTCCGTGGATTTAATCAGCGCTTCGGCATCGACTATGAGGAGACTTTCAGTCCGGTTGTCAAACCGGCCACAGTTCGCATTGTCCTCAGCCTTGCACTTTCACGAGGATGGTCGATCCATCAGTTGGATGTGAAGAATGCTTTCCTTCATGGCACACTTCAGGAGACAGTCTATGCCAGCCAGCCATCCGGATTTCAGGATCCTGCTAGGCCCCATTATGTGTGCAGACTGAAAAAGGCCTTATATGGCCTTAAGCAGGCTCCCCGATCCTGGTATCATCGCTTTGCAGGCTTTCTCCTCACATTGGGCTTTCGTGGCTGCAAGAGCGACACATCCCTCTTTGTCTACACACGAGGGAATGACATGGCATATCTGTTGCTCTATGTCGATGATATCGTACTCACTGCCTCCTCATCCCACTTACTTCAGCGCCTCACTCAGCAGCTCAAGGGGGAGTTTGCCATGACAGATATGGGTGATCTCAATTTCTTTCTCGGGATCAATGTTCAGCGCACTACGGAGGGGCTCTTTCTTCATCAGACTCAGTTTGCTCACGAGATCTTGGAACGTGCGGACATGCTCAACTGCAAGCCCATCTCCACACCTGTTGATACAAAGGCGAAACTCGGAGCTTCGTCTGGCACACCTCTCTCTGATCCTACCCTATACAGGTCCATTGTTGGAGCGTTGCAGTACCTTACTTTCACACGGCCGGATCTCACCTATGCCGTACAGCAGCTATGTCTCCATCTTCATGCCCCTCGTAGCACTCATCTCACTGCCATGAAGCATGTCCTCCGCTACTTACACGGCACCACCACTCATGGGATCACTCTCCACCGCACACGTACTGATTCTTTACAGGCATACTCTGATGCAGATTGGGCAGGGTGTCCCGATACTCGTCGCTCTACATCCGGCTACTGTGTTTTCCTTGGCGACAACCTCATCTCTTGGTCATCCAAGAGACAAGCCACCACATCCCGTTCGAGTGCTGAGGCCGAATATCGAGCAGTTGCAAATGCCGTGGCTGAGGCAAGTTGGGTCCGAAATCTCCTCATCGAGTTACAGCAACCTCTACGCCGCACCACACTGGTTTTCTGTGATAACGTCAGTGCAGTGTACCTCTCGACTAACCCTGTTCAGCATCAGCGCACAAAACACGTAGAGGTTGACATACATTTCGTCAGGGACAAAGTTGCTCTAGGGCAGGTTCGTGTTCTCCATGTTCCCTCTTCCTCCCAGTACGCCGACATCTTCACCAAAGGGCTACCTTCTCTCCTCTTCTCCGACTTCAGGCACAGTCTTGGCATTCGCCCTTCACCGGTCACGTAGTTGGCAGCATGTTAAATATTTTGTATATTTAATATCTTCCATATATGGTAGATTTCCTTTGTATAGGGTTTCCTTGTTTATATCCTACCATAGATAGGAGTCGTGTAACTTTGTATATATACGGAGCTTGACTCCACAAGATTAATATAGAAAACAATAATTCTTCAATAAGTCTTGCAAAAGTTATACCTTGACCGAATAAGATTATTTCCTTTTTGAAATGGATTGAATATACACCCTCCGTCTCATTTTAAGTTGTTTGTTCTTGTTTATATGATCTTTGACTGAAATTATTTTTAAATGAATTTATATGAAAATTGGGGTAAAATTACAACAACAACAACCCAGTGTCCTTACCCCTACTTGAAAGTAGAGAGGCTATTTCCAAAGAGACCCCTGACTCAACGTCGAAAGTTACATTGATTGACTAATTGCTACTTCATTAATTAAAGAAGCGCATAGAGTTTAGAGATCCATTTTGCTTTAATCCATCACCCCAAAGCCAAAAAAAGTGAAGTTTTGACTCCATCGAATTTCACCTCTGACTATGAAATGCAAATGCCCTTGCCTGTTAATCATTACTCCGATCCCTAAGGCCAACACAATAGGATCGAAATCCTATAACGTTATCCATGCTAATGTATACAGAGTGTAAGCTTGCTTTGAGCACTCTAATTTCTTCAAAGTAACAACACTGGAGGCATGACCCGGCCAATTTAGACAAGGAGCACATCACCAGCAACAGAGACAAGTTCAACGATGCACACCATGAGGCGGACCGGCAAACCCATCGCAAAGTCCAACTACGAGCTTTTTAGCTGCAACAACTTAAATATAAGCTATTGCAGCTGGAATTACCGCGGCTCCCCAGACTGGCAAACCCATCGCAAAGAGTTGCACACTATGGACACCGACTACCATCTTCAACATGTGAATCAAATATGAGGGCTGATATATGCTTGCAACCCTCTCCCTGTCTTTTCCATACTCCATCAAGCATGTCTTGAGATTGGATGAGTTGGGTATAAGTACAATGCGATCAGTTATTTGAAAACGGGCTTCGCCCTTCCCTTTATTTTATCAAATTAATAATAAAATTAAGTAAAGAAAATGATTAATTTTTGACACTGAAATAGTATGTGTGCAAATCAATTGGAAATGGGGAGTACTTTTACTAATGATGAAACAAGAGGCAAAATCCCATTAGAAGACTCATAGGCCATGGCAGTGGAAAAGGAGAAAACCAAATCAAATTAAAACTCCTCCTAAATTGACAACGTGACATGGTGTGTTTGGTCTATAAAAGAAGGCCAAGCTCTCCTTAATTCACTTATGCCTCACCATGAGAATGTAAGAGAGATAAATGGGAAATTCCGCATTCTTATAGTGAGAAAGTGAAAGTGCCAAAGCAAAAGTTTTGTTTTGTTAAAAGTAAATGCTTAGGATATATTAGACGGTGGATTGATCCACTATTTGGTTGAAAATGTATGTACATTATGAATCTACGAACTGACAGAAACGGTCGGGGATCCACTCAAACTGTGAGCCAGAATTCAAAAGAGGAAGGATCCGGACGACTAGAACTAGAGCTTGAGAGAGGAGGAAAGCTTCTAGTCATACATAGTATTTAAGTTGGTTGGAGTCATAACTCAAAAAGAGGAAAAAGATTTACCGTCTTAGTGCTTAAGATATTGCATTAGTCTAGGATGGACTATGAGCTAATAGATGAATATAAATGACGCTTGAAATATCAATCCTCGTGTATATTAACACAATGTGAAATTGTCGTGAAATATGACCCTTATGCACTGATATGTGCATATATGTATATGTTTATAAACAATTCTCTGCCTTCTATCAGCTTTGTACCAATCAGTTTCACCACTAAGCATTTAGTCTATTAATTCCCTAGACACACATATGAAGTAGAAAAACTATGTGGCTCATTTTGAAGGACATAGAGGCGATAGGATGCCAAACTGACATGCATGATTTTCACAAAGAATGTCCTATGATTTTCATTTACTTGCTCCATAGAAAGTCAATTAAAATCTGCAGGCCTCTTCTCCATAGAAAGTCGATTCTAGTGCACAACGCGCACCTATTAGGTCGATTCGCCACAATTGAATCCAATTGATTCTATTGCACAGCGCACCAGTAAGGTAATTTTCAAATTAGCTTATTAATAAACCACCTAAAGGTTTGATTCTAGGTTGTTAGGTCGATTCACTCTCGTTAGCTTATCCAATTGGTTCCCCTTTCTTTTTATCTCACTCTCGTAATATGTAAATTGCCATTTGAATTGGTTAATTCAGTGTGTCTTCCTTTCGCTTGGATCTTCACATCTGTAAAAACTAAAAAAAATTATTACATTTCGGTCTTTTGGGTCCTTACCGGTTTGGTCCAAGGATTTTCGGTCCGGGCCGGTCTAAGACCGACTACTTATAGGTCCGGTCTTCGGTCTTAATTTTTTCCTGCTTCGGTCTTCGGTCCGGTCTGGTTCGGTCCGGTCTTGGACCGATGAACACCCCTAGGCATGACCCCTGAGTATAGATGTGTCTTGCATTATTAAACGTTGCAAGGCTCAATGATATGGGTTCTAGCCCAAATGAAACTCTTAAACCAATATATTAACAAATTGTGTGTATATGTTCGTGTGTAATTTGATAGAGATGACTGAGAATTATTTGGAAAGAGTACACGTCTTGCTGAATTTATATATATAGACAATTAGACATTTATTTTATATGTGTGTGCTCGTGTGTATGTATATAGCATATGTATATATCTGTATGTATGCATGCATTGATCACTTCATCCATCACAAACGCTGACCTCACCTCTATTATATTTCATTTATATATAGCACAACATAAATTAGTTGTGAGCATATGATACGTACTTGAAGGCAAGTTTGACAGTGTCTATTAGAGTTGTGATAACTGAAGAACCCTGCTTCACCAGCAAACATTCCAGCAGTAACTGTGACCATCTGCATAAATGGTTTCCTCACCATTTCTTCATCACAACAACCCTGCACACTCAATCATTTTAAAAATTATAATTATACTGTTCAGTAATTTAGTCACGACATATTTGGTAATCATATCTATCTTTCTATCTGTAATTTTACTTCGAAATATAAAAAAAGTATCACACGGCGTTGAAAAGAACTATAGTAACATTTTAAATTTCAGATATAGAGCTTGTACAGTTTACATTTTGCAAATTTCTGCATCCTGTGCTTATATTCTAAATAGACTTATTGGTCTATGGAAGAGTTTAAAAAGGTAATTACTCAAAACCAGATTTTAATCAATAAAAGTGCGCAAGGCCAAATTGAGCCAAAAACATTGACAAAAAGTAGTCCAACCCCAGCTAGTGTCAGTATATGTTCCTCCATAATTTACATATGTGATTATGGGACAACAACAATCCATTAGTGAAAGATAACTTGAATACATCCAGTTTACATATCAAACTAAACAGGGGATCAGATTGAAAAAATAATGTAACGATGCTGATACATTTTAGGCATACTGCAAAACTCAAACTGTAAAAATTTGATAAAAATAGTCATTCCAGCATCAAATACTGGTGGGCAACCATGTACTCAGGAGCCCATTATTGATGCACATATAATTAAATTAGTTTGATGCACAACTATGTACTAAGGAGCCCATTATTGAACAATCTCACAGCAGATATGGTACACGATAGGGCGCAATGGCGTTGTTTGATCCATGTAGCCGACCCCACCTAGTGGGATAAGGCTTTTTTGTTGTTGTATTTTTTGATGTACAATACATATATTTTCTTCAGATGCTTTTCTAGCACATATTTTTTCAAAGTTTAATTCTGCTCTTTTAACTTTATGGTTTTAAATTTTGTAGATGATTCAATGGTACAATGCGTGACTTTCATTCTTGATTGATTTCTAAAACTTTACTATGCTTTAAAAATTTTATATATACTATTACTAATGTAGATATACTAGATATTCTACTAATGCCTCAATTTGGGCATTGTGTTCATGATGCGCGCGCATCAAGAGCGCATCAAAGCGCTAGAGCCCTTTTTTGCATCGGTGCGCATCACGCCTTAAATAACTATGGATACAAGTCGTAACCTCCCAAATTGCTCTCCTTTTCCCATAATAATGAAAAACTTGATTTATACCAAACAACATATATGCTTAATTTAAGAGCACTGAAAACAAATGATGGTGTTTTACTCCTCAATCATCAAAACAACAAGAAGCAAATTGATTGAAGAACTTGAATACAAATCTATAAAAGCTATGAAACAAATCCTAACATGCATGTTATTTACTGCTGTGCCTTTTGTAGCTTTTTAACCTTTTTTCTATTAATTTCTTTTCATGTTCTCTTATTGCCCGGTCTTTTTGTAATTGTTTAACGTTAATTTATTGCATACCTTGTTGTCTAAACCTCTTTTAGCAGACTATTCTCACTGCATCTCACCATTTTGTATTGTTTTTTCAAAATGTTTTAAGAATTCTTAAATTTTGAACGTCCAAAACTTCCAAATATTTTCTTTAGGCAAGTGTGTTCAAAATGTCATTTACTCCTGAGATCTAAGGTTTAGGTACATCAAACTTCCTATCACTGTTTTTCAATTCTCTTGTTCTTCTATTAAGCCATTCCACGCGATATCATTGACTCATGGGACCTAGAAGTGCAACAAGAACAAAAACTTACAGTCATCAATGATTACTCCATATGTTCATCCCTGCTCACATAATCATCAGGATTGATGACTTCACCAAAATCATCCCATTCTAAAGAGTTTTTGAAGTAGAGAAATATTGGAAGGGAGAACAAACCCATTAATAAATACATCATTGGGGGATCCAACTTGTGTTCTGGTAACTGCAAAACAGTCGCCGACAACATTAAGACTAGATGGTGAATATTCTTGCCTAGATGTTTTGAACATTACCGTTTGAAATGAATCGGTGACAATTGAAAGTGGCCATGTGGTCATTCATGGAAATGCCAGAAACTAAAGATAAAATGCAACAAAAATATAAAGTGTTAACTCCCACTTCATCAATCTTACAACAGGTAGATGTTTCTTTCTAAAATCTAAACCAAATATCATACCACAATATAGAATAAATATTTCTTTTAGCTCCAGAATAAATGATTTTTCCCAGACCCTATTGTAGTGGGATTCAACTGGGTTGTTGTTGTTGTTGTTGTTAGCTCCAGTATTCAGTTGCATGTATTTAGTTGAATTGATAAACATTTTTTAATAGTGAGTAGTACCGGAAACAAAACAAAAAACTCATACTCTCATAGTAACTTAATTATTTACATGAACTGAACGAGCTAAACTATACAAAAGAAAGGAACTGGAAATTTAGATTTTCAAAATGAACAAACTAATATGGAGCAGAAAGCATATATAAAAATCCGGTGTCTTCTCCGGTGACTTTTCCGGCCAGACGTCAAGAAAGCATACAACAATCGAAGACATACAACAATGCCAGCCAGACGTCAACAACTCCTAGAATCGAAAAATTCTTCAGTGAATTGTTCGAGACACACAAGAGCAAAGCAATAGGGATGTGTGAAGGCTTCTATAAAGGTTATCCTTCAGTCTCATTCTCTACAAATGATGAAGAGCACTGGCAAGTAAGATGTATTATCCTCCAATGGGAAGATTTAAGGGTGGGTTCCACATTACTGTACTAAAGGAATTCTTGAAGAAAGCTGGTTTCAATGGAGGGTTCAAGATACGAATAATCTCAACAAAAGTTCTTTTCACATTCAGAGTAGAAGCAGATTGCATCAGATTTATTCAAAGAGGTAACTGGTACGTTCAAGGCACCTACGACTATACAGCTAATAGAGATAGAAGAGTGGATGCAAGAATTTGTTGAAATGAAAGTTCAAATTCCTCCACCCCCCTAAAATCCATATCAAGATAGGGGCTAAGGACTTATACCCAGAGTGCACCTATGAAGAGCTAGCTTCGTACTGTGACCAGTGTAAATTAATTGGTCATAAATCTTTGATCTACTAAAATTGCCAAGCCAAGAGGAAAAGCTTTCCCCAGAAAAGGTAAAGAGCGCACGTCCAAACAGGTTAGTGATGAAAGTTGGAAACAAGTGAAGGGTAAAAACTTGACAAGGACAGGTAACTATCAGTTGAAGTTACCAAGGAAGTGGTAAATCCTAAGAACCATCCAGTAAGAGTTACCTTATGGATTTACTAGAAGAAAATGAGGTCACAGCTGCGCCCCCAGCTGGCTGGAGTTAACTTTTTGCAACCAGTCCTGGAGCAATTAATAATTGCATATCCTCTTCTCCATGATGGCCCATCCACTAGATATGAGGGTACAATCGATCAGTTCCCATCACTCTCAGAAGCTAAGGCATATGCATATAAAACACTACAAAGGGAGAAATACAAGGAACAAGAAACAGGGACTTCTGACTGTCATCCTGTCTAATCTTCAATTAATACAGTATAAGGGTTTAATGGATGAGTGTCTCCATCGCCATTCTCCTGAAAAAGGTCTAGACATGTTAATTGAAGAAACAGGAAAATCACAATCAAAATACAAAAAAGAATATTTAGAGGAGCATCAATACCACTCAGAAGAGGAACATTACGATGATGAAATTATCTGTGAAGATATGGAACCCCTTCATGTCAAAATTACTAAAGAAGGAGCAAACACTATTATTGTTCCAAAAGCTGTCTATAAGAAGAACAATAGAACCCCAACATCCATGATCATTGATATGGAACCCCTTCATGTCAACATAGTGACTAGCATTACAGAACACCAAGGTAAAGTCCCCCGCAAAAATGACATGGATGATTTCACTCATTGTTTGGAAGCTTGCAATTTTATAACTCCTCATACTATTGGCAGCCCGTATATTGGAGTGGTGTGAGAAGTAGAGGAAGGGTTTGGAGAAGGTTAGACAGAGCATTGATAAATGATGCTATGCGCCTACGCTAGAGGGTTACAATGATATCAACATCACTCGCCTCAGCAATGCCTCATCTGATCATAGACCCATCTTACTCAAATGCAGAAATGAATCTTCTAAGGGTCCTAAACCTTTCAGATACCTTAATGTTTGGGAATCTCATTCAGCATTCATGAATCTGGTTTCTACTTATTGGAGGAAAGACAACAATTTAGGAGGTACGAAAGGTTAGCTATCAAGCTCCGGGGTCTTGAGACTATTATTAAAGAGTGGAATATTACTAAATTTGGTAATATTTTCACTAACCTCAAAGAAGCAGAATTGAAGGCAAAAACAGCCCAAGAGTCCAAGACCTTTTTGATTTGGATCCAAATGAGACCAATCTGATTGAAGAGAAAAAAGATAGAGCAAAGATGATTATGCAAGAAGATAGAGTCGTCCATTTTTGGTAACAAAAAGCTAGTATAAAGTGGATGGAGAAAGGAGATAACAATACTAAATTCTTCCATTCATATGTTGAAGTTTTGGTTTCCGATGAAAGCATAAACGACCGGTGGAAGAGCTACTTCAATGATCTGTTTAATGAGGAGCGTGTGAATCTCTCATGCTCCGATCGGCTACACACGAGGGAGGAGGACCAAAACTTCAATTATTACCGAAGAATTCGAGAAACTGAAGTTAAGGAAGCCCTAAAACAAATGAAGAATAGCAGAGCAGTGGGCCCAGACAACATTCCGATGGAAGTTTGAAAAGGTTTAGGAGGAAAAGGCATTTGGTAGCTAACTAAGCTTTTTAACGAGATTTTAAGATCTAAGAAGATGCCTAACGAATGGAGGAAGAGCATTTTGGTTCCTATTTACAAAAATAAGGGAGATATTCAAAGTTATGGAAACTACAAAGGGATCAAACTTATGAGTCATACGATGAAGTTATGGGAAAGAGTGGTTGAACGGAGGTTCAGACAAGAGATTTCGGTGTTAGAGAACCAATTTAGTTTTATGCCAGGTAGATCGACTACAGAGGCTATATACTTGGTGAGAAGAATGATGGAGAGGTACCCATTGTGTTAGAGAACCAATTTAGTTCAGACAAGAATGATGTATATGTTAAAGGACTTAGAGCTAAACACACAATTAGATCTATTCATGACAAGATTGGTAAAGAATTTACTCAGCATGAAGATATTTGTAAAGTTACAATGGAGCATTCCTGAGCACTCTTCAATAGTTCCAAACATAGCTTGGTGGATCCAGTTCTGGATTTTCTAGAACCTGTGATAAATGATTCAGACAATGACATGATAATAAATATTCCCTCTGAAAAAGAGATCAAAGAGGCAATATGGGGACACAATCCTGATAGTGCTCCTTGTCCGGATGGATATAATGGACATTTTTTCAGACAGTGTTGGAGCTTTATCAATGAAGATGTAACTACAGCCTGTCAGGAGTTCTTCACTGGTATCCTTATCCCTCAGGCCTATGGTAGTACTTTTATCAGTCTCATTCCTAAAAGAGATAACCCTAAAACCTTTGATGATTATAGACCAACATCTCTTTCAACCTTCATGAGCAAAATTAATATCAAGATATTGGCCAACAGATTGCACACTATACTTCATAAGGTTATCCGTCATGAGCAAACTGGTATTCAAAAGGGCAAGGGAGTTGATGAAGAAATCCTTTTAACAGGAAAGATGGCTCACAAACTGGACAACGATGTTAGAGGTGGTAATATTATCATTAAGCTGGATATGGCAAAAGCTTTTGACAACCTAGAACGGAATTACATCCAGAAGATCTTAGACAAGATGGGTTTCTCTAATAAGGTTCAGGAGCTATTATCTTTTAACCTGAAAGCTACAAATTTATATATTCTCATCAATGGAACTCCTGCTGGGTTTTTTAAGATGCTCGAAGGGGTGAAACAAGGTGACCCTTATCTCCACTGTTGTTTATAATAGGTAGTGAAGGGATTTCAAAAATGTTGAACAAAGCTTTTACTACTTCCTATATAGCCAACTTCAACACAGGAAGAGATTTGATTGTTAGTCACCTAGCATTTGCTGATGATGTGATCATTTTTGCTAATAAAGATGTGAGAAATCTGGCAAAACTGAAAAACTTCCTTAAACTTTACATGGAAGCTTCAGGGCAGCAGATTAATCTCACCAACAGCAAGTTCTATTGTGGAAAGAGCACTAGACACAATACCATTCAAAAGATTGAAGATTTACTGGGTACGAATCACAGCAAATTGCCCTTTAAATACCTTGGTGCACCTTTTTGTAAAAGTATTCTTCGAAAAGCAGACTGCAAGAAGTTGATTAATCACTTTGAGAAATATCTTCAATCTTGGTATAGCAAAGTGCTTAACCGGTTAATCCTATGGGTAGGCTGGTTTTAATCAAACATGTTTTATCCTCAATTCCGCTACATATTTTAGCAGTGCACAAGCTTCCCAAATCAGTGATTAACAAACTTCAAAGAGATATGAGCAACTACTTTTGGGGTTTTCATGATGGTTAGCCTAACCATCACTGGAAGTCATGCGACTCTATTTGCCTACCTAAAGAGGAGGGGGGCCTGGGATTAAGAAATATCTCTGAACTTCAAGAAGCTTATACTTTGAAACTGTGGTGGAAATTCCATTTTAGTCAGGATAACTGGGCTAAATTTATGAGGAACAAATATGGTACAAGGGATATGGATGAAAAGCTCACCGATTCACCATGTAGAAAGAGAATTTGAAGAATTAATGACTTGGCTCTTGAACACTTCAATATTCATGAAGTCTCAGCAACCAATGAAGATGGAACTACAACATTTAGCCTGAAGCAAGCATTTGATATTTGCAGAAGTAGAAACACTAAACAGTTGAGTAACAAATTCATTTGGCATAAACATCAAATTCAAAAAATCAAGATATTCCTTTGGAAAAATCATACTTATGTATTGCCTTTTCCTAATAATCTAAGAAAGTTTCAATTTGCCATCTCAATGTTCATTCTGCAAGAACAGTGAAGATAGCACGGATCATTGCCTCTTACATTGTGAAAAGATTATTTGCGTATGGAGATATTTAGCAAACTTGGTTGATGGGCCAAATTTAAGGGATAACATTACTATAAAACAGCATATTCTGGAGTGGTATCTATCTTCGAATGCAAAATCTCTAAGAGGTAATCTTTGCTCGATCCTTCCAGGAATTATTTCTTGGTGTTCTTGGAAGATGTACTGCTCAATTACTTTTGGGGATGAACAGGAGAATATGGCACATATGTTTGAAAATATCAAGCACTTAGTTCAAAATTAACGTTGGACTTACATATTCCATGGATGGATGATGCATGATAAAGAACTTACAGATATTGGTCTTCAGAGATATAGTCTTACAGGAGCTTCAATCAGAGACTATAATCCAGTTGAGTAAGAGAAGCATCTCGGTTCATGAACACTAGATTTTTGAAGCAAGGATGGGGTTTTCAGTTTGGGGAGATGGGTGCTGATTATGATGCTTGAAGATGGTTCAAGTTTATAGAGAACGTTTCAGGTCTTGGTTCATGTTGTGGTTGTACGGAGTATTTGATACTCTATTAACCCTTTTTGTCTCTTGTGGCTCCTTGTCTTTATATTTGTCTCTTGTATCTTGTACTCCCCCCAGATGAATTGTATCCCTGAGGGTCTGTCCTCGTGTACTCTTGCTTGTAAAAGGAGGCTTTTAAATAAATTTGGTTAGGGTTCCCCAGACCTAACCGACCCGAGTTTGGTGGTTCTGCACAGGGTTGGAAAAAAAACCCTATATGGAGCATAAATTTCCACACTTAAACAAGGATTAAAAATCAGCCTTCAATTCAAAATTATCAATTAAATACTAAACCATGAAATTTTGCTTGAATAACAAATACGGAGTATGTGACTATGGGATAACAACAATCCATTAGTGAAAGATAACTTGAATAAAGCCAGTTTACATATCAAATTAGAGAGAGGATCAGATTGAAAAATAATAATGTAATCATGCTCATACATTTTAGGCATCCTGCAAAACTCAAACTGTAAAATTTTGATAAAAAAATGAGTCATTCTAGCATCAAATACTGGTGGGCAACTATGTACTAAGGAGCCCATTATTGATGCAATTATAATTAAATTAGGTGTATCATTACATATGGACTTTCAAGAGCAATGTAGGATCATGATGGCTTTGGGATGAAGGTGTATTACCAACACGGCTTAATCCAACAAGAGTTGGGGTACCATCTTGTACCATAAAGATGGGATGATGAATCTTGTTGGCTTCCAGAGAAATGCCATTTGCCCATCTTCATGGAGAAGTAAACAATATCAGTACCACGGAGCAATGGGAAATAAATTCTGTTTCCATCACTCGAAGAAGGCATGGCAGAGGAAGAAGTTGGGTTGAGATACAAGTCGTAACCTCCCAGATTACTCACCTTTTCCCATACCTGATAATTATTATTCAGCTTGTAAACAGAAACCCACTTTCCTGCACAACCAAGAAATACTGAAATCAACTCTCCACAACACTCCACCAAGAAGTGAGAAAAAAACTTCAGGTCAGCTGGTCTTTGCGGCTTCTCAAGAACTTCGCACCTCATGTTTACTAGTTGCAAATCTATTTCAAGATATCCGAGTTGTCCCGTCTTATCCAAGTAATAGAAAGCGTCTTTAAACAAGACCGGACTAGTCTGCATTGCTGCATCAAAATTCTTTTCGCTCGTCAGTTCATCCCTAGACCAATCTTCACCAGGTTTAAAATTGATTGATACAAAAACATGGATTCCATCACAAAAATCAATACAAATAGGTGCGTGGAACGTGGTGGCTTTCCAACAAAAAATAGACAATCTTCTATTCTTGTATGACTGTAACTGTAACTCTATAAGTTGATGTCTCTCTTGAACGAATTGTAAAGATCGTTCCGTAAACCCATCGTCAACAACTTAACGGCGGCCCAAAGTTTGCAAAGTTCAGTAAAGTTGTGATTATTATACATTACAGTGAAATGTGGGATTATTTTTGAAAGACAGAGTAAAATTGGGATTATTTTGAATAATTTTTCCTAATGATAATAATAAAACATTTTACCTGCAAAAGTTGAGAAGATTGGATTCGATCTTCTCGTCACCATCAACATTAATACGTGCATCCATCTTTTTATCAAAGTACTGATTAATCTACGCAGTAGTTATAGATGAATTAGCTACGTAAATAAATGTATAGAGCTCAATATGAAGATATAGATTGAAAGCATTACTCACTTGCTGATGATCAAAAGTTTTTGTTAAAAGATTGAACTGTCCATCATCAAACCTATTTGAGCTTTGAAAGAACTACACAAATGAAAACCAAAAATATTGGTAAATGCAGCTTGTAGATTATGTGGGATGGGGTGGGTGGGGTGGAGAGAAAATTACCTTGTGGATTATCTCATATAGGCATTTTTTCTCGATTTTTTCACACTCAACCTTATCCATCATTAATGCAGTTTCGTTTTTCCAAAACTGTGCCTCTTGTTTTGCTTCAAAAACGCTCCTCTATAGCTCCTTTAGCAAACAAAATTATAACTCAGTTTTACAGCATTATTTTTTAATCACAAAATTTCAATGACCATAGAATTGGGATGGGAGAAGCTTTTTCAAACTCAACCCCGCACTCTTCGGTCATATGTTTTATGACCTCCTCGTTTTCCTCTTCTAATTCTTCATCTTCACTGAGTTCTTCAGTGTTTTGGGGAAGAATTTCTAAGTTGCTGGTCTCCTGTTTTTCCTTCTTCGTGGTCGCCCTTCTTCTAAGCATATCTCTTTTCTTTTTGCCCGGTTACCGGCCTTTCATCTTTTTCACCGATCTTTTAACCGGGCAAAAAGAAAAGAGATATGCTTAGAAGAAGGGCGACCAGAGAGAAGGAAAAACAGGAGACCAGCAACTTAGAAATTCTTCCCAAAACACTGAATAACTCAGTGAAGATGAAGAATTACAAGAGGAAAACGAGGTCATAAAACATGTGACTGAAGAGTGCGAGGTTGAGTTTGAAAAAGCTTCTCCCATCCCAATTCTATGGTCATCGAAATTTTGTGATTAAAAAATAATGCTGTAAAACTGAGTTATAATTTTGTTTGCTAAAGGAGCTACAAAGGAGCGTTTTTGAAGCAGAACAAGAGGCACAGTTCTGGAAAAATGAAACTGCATTGATGATGGATAAGGTTGAGTGAAAAAATCGAGAAAAAATGCCTATATGAGATAATCCACAAGGTAATTTTCTCTCCACCCCACCTACCCCATCCCACATAATCCACAAGCTGCATTTACCAATATTTTTGGTTTTCATTTGTGTAGTTCTTTCAAAGCTCAAATAGGTTTGATGATGAACGATTCAACCTTTTAACAAAAACTTTTGATCATCAGCAAGTGAATAATGCTTTCAATCTATATCTTCATATTGAGCTCTATACATTTATTTACGTAGCTAATTCATCTATAACTACTGCGCAGATTAATCTGTACTTTGATAAAAAGATGGATGCACGTACTAATGTTGATGGTGACGAGAAGATCAAATCCAATCTTCTCAACTTTTGCAGGTAAAATGTTTTATTATTATCATTAGGAAAAATTATTCAAAATAATCCCAATTTTACTCTGTCTTTCAAAAATAATCCCAACTTTGCGAGTTTTGGGCCGCCGTTAAGTTGTTGACGGCGGGTTTACGGAACGATCTGTTTTTTGCCCAGCTCCAGATGAAAAATGTATTAAGAAGAGTTCCCTGCAGGATTCCAACATATAGACATTGATGTAAGGAGTGAAGCAACCAGAGCTCATGTCAGCAGGCCCGTTCACCGTACGCAGAACGAGCCCAAACTCTGCCGCTCCCTCTTCTTCTTCTTCAACTATCTCGATCGACATCATCCTGTAGCAGAAGCCATCAAGCCAATCCGCACCTAGCTGGGCACATACTTTGCCACCAAAGCCAACAGCCCTCCTGAAAAACAGGGGACTTCCATTTTCTCTAGCTATTGTGTGCAACTCCTCTAGAAAAAAAGGTTCCAAATACTTCCCATAGCTAATTTTTCCTAATGATAATAATATTTCCAAGAATATTAACAGGGTCAAATTACCTCCGGTAGTTAGTAGTAGGAGGACACATACAACTGTCGATCTTGTGATTCCATAGGTGATGCAAATCAGGCAGGATTAGGGTACTGTCAAATGTGGTCGAGTTGCACAGAGACAGGGATTTGGCGTTGTAATCGTACAAAACAAGGCGGCCGTGAGCACAAGAAAGAATCTTTTTGTCGCGCAAGACTGGAATGCTCTTGATGTGTGTCTTGACCGGCGAGGGTCCTGCTATGTCGTAACTGAAAGACTGCTTTCTGTAACCTTTGCCGTGGTAATACACCAGCCAAGGGCACCGGCCCGGCGGCGGTGGTTGTGACGCCGCCACTTCTTCTCGGTTCCCCGGAATTGTCATGTCTTCCATTCCTACAAATTTCCAATACTCCTTGGGGTGCTGTACTCTAGTAGAGAAGAGCAAAGGACAAGATGTTGTCGAATTGGAAAAACACCACTCTTATAGAATATGATTAGGAAAACATTTTTTTTGTGTTTTTTTCTTATTCTTATTAAAATCAGATCAGACTTTATCAGATCAGATCGAATTGGATCATATCAAATCCAATCCAATCAGATCAGATTCAATCAAGATTTATTATTATTATTATTATTATTATTATTATTATTATTATTATTATTATTATTATTATTATTATTCTAAAAAATGAAAAAGAATAAACTTTAGAAACAAGTTAAATAGAAAATTGAGAAACTAATCCTTAATTATTAGACGTCAGAAAATTATTTTTAAAAAACATTGACAATGTCAATCTAATTCTACTTTTAAAATATATTTTTATTGTTACCTGTAATTTGAGTTTCTAAAGTTTTGATCTTATACTACATCGAGTTGATCAACTTTGATCATGACTTAAATAAAATTCATATTTGATTTTAATATACGGAGTATATTTTAGTGTAACTGAAATAACTATTATATCTATGGTGTTATATTAATCATAAAAAAAAGTTTCGTTGTACAAAGCACGCGCTGATATTTTATAAGGATGAGATATTTTAATAAAAATATTATCTCTTCTCTATATTGATTACTAAATTTAATTACTTTTTATGTATATATGAATTAAATATTTATTCTAATGTATACATGAACTAATTATTAAAATATTAAATCAATATTCTTATTTCATAAAAAAATAATCATAAAATAAAAAATATTATTACATTATAATATGAATGATTATTCTAATATATGAATTAGCTAATTTTATTTCATTAAAAAATAATCAGAAAATAAAAAATATTGATTATATTATAATATGAATTATCAATACAATTTTCAAACGTTATTATAAAGTCAAATCAAATTATTGATTTGAATTTTAAATCAAATCATAATTAATCAGATCAAATCAGACTAGATCAGATCAGATCAAATCAGATCCAATCAGATCTAATCAGATCAGATCAGAGCCAATCAGATCAAACCAGAACTACAAAAAATCAGATCAGATCAAAAAATGTAAGTTGAACGGAACGGAGCCTTAGTTATGTGGAACTTATTCTTTCTCCTTATTAGTTATTTTTAGAACTCGCAAATATATCGATCAGCTTGGGTTTGAGTTTGGTTATTTCGGATTCGTGTTACTTTAGGTCCGGGTGAGTTCAGGTTTAGGTTGAGAACTGCATGTTCATGACCCAACATTATTGGGTTCAGATCGGTCCAACGATTTATGACCTTCATTTTTTTAAAATTTTAAGTAATTTTTAGATATATATATATATATATATATATATATATATATATATATATATATATATATATATATATATAACATAATTATGCGATATCATTAAAATTTTATTTAAAAATATTAATTCATATATTAAAAATTAGTAAGATAAGAAATATAATTATAATCTTATTTTTATAACATTATATTTCATTTTAATGTATATTGTTTTGAAAACTCTAACATTAGCGAGCCGGTCAAGTCGGGTTCGGGTTTGGTCGGAGTTTGACCTATTTTTAGCGAGTCGTTTTGGGTTCGTCAACGAAACTTTTGTTCAAAACTTAGTATTTTCGGGTCGAGTTTCGAGTCAAAAACAATTCGGATCATTTTTTGTTTAGTCTAGTTATTCTTATTAAAATGAGATTAAATTAGATCCAATCAGGTCATATGAGAACCAATCAAATAATATCTTTTTAGATTAATTTAATTAAATCCAAAAAAAACATTGAAAAACAATACTAATAGTTTTTCTATTATTACATAATAATTCGTGCATAATTAATGTGTATTACATTATGTAATGTTGTTTGTAGTTTACAAATTATTACAATTAAAATGTTATATGCAATAACGCAATAACAATAACGACAACAACAACAACAACAACAAGAATAATAATAATAATAATAATAATAATGTTACATATGACATGATATTATTAGTATATAAGTATTTATAATACTTTATTTGTTACTAAATTATTGTTCTTATTTGAAAAATGTATAAAATTACATCTCTTTTAAATATTTACATCTATCGACTCCATAAAAAACATTCAAAACTAGAACAAGCTTATGTGCCCAACAAAGATAATATTTTCAATTTTAATTTCTTCAAAAACAAATATGAATGTGTCAGGTGATGGATCGGGTGACGGGTGAGAATGTGAGAAACATCTCCACCCGCATCCGATCCAACTCATCATTAGTCCATCCATCATCCATCAATCACCCTTTTCTTTTCAAATTTTTATCCAAGAGAGCGGGTAGGGTGAAACGGATATCCATCGGGTCGGGTAGGAATTGTCATTCCTACCTTGGGTACCAAAGTGAAAAGAACCGCGCCGCAAGAATAATAACTCTTTATAATAATAATAATAATAAGGAAAAATTATCGAGAATAACTTCAACTTTACTCGATCTTTTAAAAATAACCTCGATTTTCACTTTGATGTATATTAATTCTAACTTTACTGAAATTTACGAGTTTTGGGTCACCATTAAGCTACTAACGGTTGGTTAACAGAAATATCCTGTTTTGCGCAACAAAATGAAAGTTGGGATTATTTTTGATGATTTTTTTTTGAAATTTTCCCTTAAAATTTTAAAATAACTTTCCACATCCATCAATTCTTTTTAAAGATTAATCTTACTTAAAAAAAGATATAAATATAATGAAAATGAGAAAAACAATTAAAATCATTAAAATAAAAAAAATACGTAGAGTGGGTTTTAATGTTTTTGGCACTATACGAACGTATTATTAATGTATTATTTCCTCACCCTGGTAAGAAATAAAAACAAAAACAAAAAAAAATAAATAAAAAATTTATTTTTGATTTTATTAAAACCCTAAAAAATGGAAAGAAAAATAAAAAAAAATATTTTCATACTTCAACATAATTTCATTTTAGTTATTTTTAATAAGAAAAATAAATTTTTTCTTTTGGTTTTTAATTCTTTTAAAGATTAATCTTACTTAAAAAAGATATAAAAACAATGAAAATGAGAAAAACAATTAAAATCATTAAACGTAAAAAAATACGTAGTGGTGAGTTTTAATGTTTTTGGCACTATACGAACGTATTGTAAATGTATTATTTCCTCACGTTGGTAAGAAATAAAAACAAAAAAAAATAAATAAAAAATTTATTTTTGATTTTATTAAAACCCTAAAAAATGGAAAGAAAAATAAAAAATAAAAAAATATTTTCATACTTCAACATAATTTCATTTTAGTTACTTTTTAATAAGAAAAATAATTTTATTCTTTTGGTTTTTAATTAGAAATTACTGGAGTAATTTTTTTTCATGCTTTACTAGTAGGAGGAAGTAATATATTAATGCTCCGTATAGTGCCTAAAATGTTAGAACCTATCGCTCCGTTTATTTTTAGTTTTATTTCTAATCAATTGAGGTTAATTTTATTGATTATCTTTTTATTTCATTAATTTGTATGGATTCTGATACAACACAAGGGAGAGTCACACCCTAAAAGCTAGTTGTTAAGGTGGGAGAATCCCTGGCTATATAAACTCATCACCAAGTCCCCCCCATTTAACCTGTGTGGGACAATGAAGTCAATCCAAATCATTCGACCCCCATAAGGCCCAACGTCTTCGTTGGTCACGTTCGTCACAGACTGATTTCATTGTCCCACACCGGCTAAATGGGGGACTTAGTGATGGATTTATATAGCAGAGTTCTCTCACCCTAACAGCTAGCTTTTAAGGTGCGGCTGTCCCTTGTGTTGTATCAGTTTCAGTTGCTTTTCTCATTTTTATTATTTTTTATATTTGTTTTTATATTTTTTTCAAAGGTAAGACTAATCTTTAAAAAAAGAAATAATGGAAGTAAAAAGTGATTTTAAAAACATAGAGGATTTTAAAAAAATTTAAAACAAAAATTAATAAAAAATAATCCTAATTTTCATTTTGTTATGCAAAATAAGTCATGTTCACCAGCCTCTAGCAACTTAACGGCGATCCAAAACTCGCAAATTTTAATAAAGTTGAATTGTTATGCGTCACAACGAAAGACGAGATTAATTTTTAAAAATTGGGTAAAGTTTAGATTATATCCAGAGTACATACTACATAGTACGGAGTATTAATTTGTTTACTGGGCACAGTCCAATCCTTACGCGGTAAAATTTTGCGTGTTGAACATTCCGTGATAACGTAAACGGCAAAACAAACGTCACTTCAGAGACAGACGGCTCTACCTGCACTCGCGGCGCGGCTTCATTTTCCTCCCCCATTACATTACCATCTATGACCCCGCTTCCTCGCCGGAGCTCAGGCCACTTTCCGGCCACCCTACTTTCCTAATTCTCTATTTCCACACACTTACTCTCAGCTCTTTCTATTTTTATTTGTGTTCCGACAATATCTGTTCTCGTTCTCTCTGAGCCCTGAATATCCGCATACTTGCTCGCCGTGGGTTTTCTGTTGAAGTCCGATGAGCTAGGGTATAAATTCCAGCTCAAAAATGATGGTCGATGAAGTTTAAGAGCAGGAATTTCTACTTTTTATTCAAAATATACTCCGCACATATAAATAAAACACAAGATGTCAGTGACGGAGCTTAGAGAGCGGCATGCGGCGGCAATGCAGGCGGTCAACGATCTCCGGGAACGACTGAGGGAGGAGCGCCGCCGCCTCCTTGACACCGATGGTTTTTTTCTTACTCTTTCATTTCCCCCAATTTTTAGTGAAATTTGAGTATGATTGTGGAATGTTGCAGGCGTATATGACTAATTAGGATCTCATTTTGTTTGTTTTGAATCCGTTGCAGTCGCCAGTTATGCCAGGTCACAGGGAAAAACTCCGGTTAGCTTCGGCCCGACAGATCTGGTCTGTTGCCGGACCCTGCAAGGGCACACGGGGAAGGTTGGCTTTTCTGTTCTATCTATGAAAGTTCATACTCTAACTAACTTACTTATACTATGTATTCAACTTAACAGACTAAGATTTTGATTCCTATTACTCCAGTCATTTTTGTGTCTTCGATGCTTTGCTGGTTATGATTAGATTATTCTCTTTTGAATACTACGATTGCGTCAATTGACAATGGAGCTAAAATAGTGCCGTTATTGAGAATGTTTTAGTTTTGACTAAATAATAGACTAAATCAAAATGAAGTGCTAAACTTCCTTTTCTTCTTACTTTCTATGAAGTTTTGGGTAGTTAATGCATTAAAAGTCTAGTAGAAATAATTGCTATTTTTCCATAGGGGTACATCTTGACCCTACATACTCCAATAGAGTTGGGATTATACTAGGTTTTGTTGTTGTCTTTTTAATAGTATTACGAGTATGAACTTCAAAATCTGAACACTTCTATATCTGAGAATTTCTTGCTGCAAGAGGGCACTGGCAGGCATTGCTGTAGCTTATCATCTTTATTTTATAACTTATTTTGCCAAAATTTTCACCTTAACTAAGATATAAGCCTTATCAACCAAAAGTTTCACCAAAAATACACTACTTATTTCACTGTGCTTTGGCTGAAAATGGTAAAAGGCAGTTCAGAAGTTACTTTATGGTTGAAGTGGGTCAAAGTAATGAATTCATTTTGATAAATTCAAAAAAATAAATTTTACATAAATATTTTAGATGATTGAGCAAATTGAGCCATAGTTATCAGCAGGCTCAGCAGCTTCAACCATTATATCCTTATCAAACGTGCTCTTATGGAACCTACATGGATGAGTAGGTTATGCAATAATCTCTTTAAATCTTCAAACAGGTGTATTCACTGGACTGGACTCCTGAAAAGAATCGTATTGTCAGTGCATCTCAAGATGGACGATTGATAGTATGGAATGCCCTCACGAGCCAGAAAACACATGCAATCAAGCTCCCATGTGCTTGGGTTATGACATGTGCATTTTCTCCAACTGGGCAGTCTGTTGCTTGTGGTGGGCTGGACAGTGTTTGCTCCATCTTCAATTTGAACACTCCTCCTGATAAAGATGGAAATTTAACTGTGTCCAGAATGCTTAGTGGGCATAAGGGCTATGTATCGTCATGCCAATATATTCCAGATGATGAGACTCGGTTGATAACTAGTTCTGGTGATCATACATGTTTTCTGTGGGATATAACTACCGGTCTAAAAACGTCTGCTTTTGGGGGTGAATTTCAATCTGGACATTCTGCAGATGTGTTGAGGTGAGTAATGTTTCCACATGTTTTGTTAGAATCCCATATCAGACGACAGACTCTCAAGGGTCTTTTCAATTGCTAAAATATGGAGGCAAAATATCCGAGGTGCTTTTTGGAGTGTGATTGAGCCTCGATAGATCTAATGCTCTCTTTGTCCCATAAAAAGGCTCTATGTTTGACCCGGCATGGTTGTTATTTTGAAAAGTAAAAAGGCTCAATGGGGAGTAGAGAAATAATACACGACACACGGTTCTTTCCTTAAAAGAAAAGTGGAACCTTATTTTGAGACAGACAAAAAAGAAAAGCGGGAACTGTTTTTTTGGAATAGAGGGAGCATGTTTAGTTTTTGTTCCATGTATCCATATCTATGCACCCATTGAATTATGGTTTTTCGTATATGTGTTTGATTTATACCTTGTTTCAGTATCTCAGTAAGCACATCAAATACAAGAATGTTTGTCTCTGGATCATGTGATGCAACAGCCCGTCTTTGGGACACCCGGGTTGCTAGTCGGGCAGTTCGTACATTCCATGGCCATGAAGCAGATGTTAATGCCGTCAAGTTCTTTCCAGATGGCAATAGGTTTGGTACCGGTTCTGATGACGGAACTTGCAGATTATATGACATTAGGACTGGACATGAACTTCAAGTTTACTCTCATCCTCGTAGTGATAATGAAGTTCCTCATGTGACTTCTATCGCTTTCTCAATTTCTGGACGTCTTCTCTTTGCTGCAGACTCTAATGGAGCTTGCTATGTATGGGACACTCTCTTGGCACAGGTATCATATGATAGTTTTCCTTTAGGACTGCGTTTTATATGCTTTTTTTTAATCTCTTTGATGCTGTTTAGGTTTGCTCTAGTAGTAGTAGTAGTAGGTGTTTAAACTTAATAATTATAGAATTTGTTGAACATTACTTTACAGGTGGTTCTGGATCTTGGTGCAGTTCAAAACTCTCATGAAAGCAAAATAAGCTGTTTGGGATTATCAGCTGATGGGAGTGCATTGTGTACAGGAAGTTTGGACACAAATCTCAAGGTTTGTGTTTCTCTTGTGCCATTACATATTTGCTTAATCCATCATCAGGTATTAAAATCTCTATTAATATTGTAGAAATCCACTCATGGAACTCACTCTACCCTAAAATTTCTTACCATTTTGACTCACATTCTTATTAAGAAAATGAGATTGTGGTTTTGGTTCATTTTGGAAGGATAGAATCTATTTCAACCACACAAATCCTTCCTTAAACAGAAATACAGAAAGTTATACGATAACCCAAAATGAAAAGTGAGAAAAAAAAGAATGGCAGAGTGTAGTAATTGCACTTTTGGTCCATCAGATGTTTGTTATTGTGTAATGTACGTGCAGTACTTGACTAGTTGACTTTGCTTCTCTTTTTTTTTTTTTGGTTTTTGCAAATGTGACCTTATAGTCTTCCAGTTGTGTAAAAATTCGGACATAAATTAAATTTTCACTGCACAGATTTGGGCTTTCGGAGGGGTCAGAAAGGTGATATGAAGGATGGCTGGCTTCTTCGTTCTTCTATTTTGGAGACCTTTTATTTATCGTCATGGAAATGGTAACGGTATGAGGCCGAATCAGAGATATAAATAAGGAAAATTATTTACGACGCCTCTGTAATTCTTGTAGTAATGCTTTGTCCAACCGGACGTTTGTTCTATTATCAACAACATCATCATCATGCCTGTTCCAATTCATAGATTTTAATGATATGTTTGGCTATGTTCACGACTGCTATACTATTCAAGATTTAACGAGTATATTCTGCAGCATTAAAAAAAGAAAGAGATTTGTCTTCCTAAATCATTTACTCCATTCCTTCTAAGCTTGCCTCCCAATTTGACTTGGCACAATTTGGAATTCGGTGGTTTTGGTTTATTTAGAAATTGTTAGAAAAAATGTGATTCACAAAAATTTTTCATTTAAGAATGAATTGTGCTTGGGCATCATATCTTCACCCATATTTATTTCACATGAACACGACTTCACAAATATAGGCTCCCTTCTTTTAGGTTGGAATTTCAGAGTTGGATGTTGGAAGAAACTGAAGAAGTTGGAAAAAGTTGGAAGAAGTTGAAAAATGTTGGAAGAATTTTAATATTAAAAATTTACACAATTAAATGATCACCCAGATAAATATGTAAAAAAATTCTAATTTTGGATAAAAAAGAATTCACCATTATTTGTGTTTGAAGTGGTATGTTATATATTTGAATATATAAGTTATTGTGTATTCATCATATATAAATACATTTTTAAAGTGGTTGCTGGAATTGTTAGCCTTAGTTTCCTAAGCCTCGTGTTTTGATGTTAACAAACAATATAAGAGCTAATGTTTATTTAGGTGTTTCAGGTACAACAAGAATTTATTAAGATTTGATTCTCAAGAATAACGTTGAAACACAAAACTAGCGTAGAATATAGGTAGACACAAATGTGAGGATATGATTTTATATACATATATTCATAAGCTCAAAAACACTCACAAAATATGTTTAAAACCATCTCATAAACATTTTCAAATATCCAAAAGGTTTTAAACTCAAACGATAATGATTAAGCGAATTTTGGAAAAACCAGGACAGGCGTACGGCACCCCTAACGGTACCCCACTATTGTCTCACGGTAGGGTACACCGTCCCCATGGTACCGAGGTACCGAGAGGCTGTAGATACCGCCAGGGCCAGTTGGTTTTTTGAAGGTACACGGTACCCCTATGCAGTAGGCCCTACCGTAACCACGGTACCTAGGTACCGTCTGGTAGCTCGATACCGTGACAGGTATCGTAGCCGTTGCCTGAATTGTAGCTGATTGTGAATTTTGAATTTAATCAATCCAAATCACCTCCCAACGGCTAATTAACATCTTCCACTATAAATACAGACCTAATGCTTCATATTTTAACAAGAAACAAAGCTCAAAAATCATCTCTTTATATTATAAGTGTGTTTATTCTTTTATTCTTAATTTTTCATATTTTGGCTATTTCAAGAGCCATATTCTCTTGATTTTTAATACACACTTTTGAGCTTGTGTTTTAGATATATACTCTCATATTCATAAGTTTATATTGTATTTTTGAAGAGAGTATAATTTCGTTCTACACCCGCTAAGTCTTGTTCTTTATCCTTGTATTCAAGTCGTTGTGTAGAACTCTTTTTGTGTTTATCAAACACACTTTTTTTACGGCCGAGAATAACCGTTAAATTCTCACGTTGTAACGGTCGAGGATAGCCCTATAAATCCTTGGGTAAAGGTTCAAGGGTAGAATTTGAAATCCTTGGGGGGAATGGTCGAAGATATATAGCTGTGAAATCCTCATTCTAAGCGGTTCGAGATAGTCGTAAAATCTCGGAGTGAATCTTATTGGAAAGGGTTGTTTGCCAAAACTAGTGTGGTGCTTTGACAGAGTTCAAGAGACCGAGACTTAGTGGATTCGGAAATCCTTAAGGAGGGGTCTTAAGATACTGGAGTAGGGATTTCCCAAATCAGTCTCAAATTTGGTGTGTTCTTATTTTACGCTTTTATTTCTATTTTTATTTATTTCTTCCACATTTACCAACACCAAATTTATTAAACTCCAAAAAATTTTCAAACACCTTATTCACCCCCTCTAAGGCATGGGCACATCGACTAACAAGTGGTATCAGAGCGGTTTCGTAGTTTAAAGTGCTTAACCGCATCTACGACAAAGATCTACTTGTTGTGTCCTTTTTAATTGATTTTTAAAATTTCAAATTTTAGTATCCCTAATTTTTAAAATTCAAATTTTGGAAATGGCCTCAATGGAATCTCAAAGCATTCACCGTCCTCCGTCTTTCAATAGACAAAATTATTGTTATTGGAAAATGCGGATGGAATATTTTATTCAATCCATTGATTTTGATTTATGGTTGAATATACTTCACAGGCTATTTGTATCGAGAAATGGTAATCTTGCGGGTTTATCGGCCGAGGATAAGAGGAACTTATCACTGAACGCAAAGGCCATTAACATTCTTCATTGCTCCCTTGGACCCCATAAGTTCGCACGTGTGTGCTCGTGCTCCCTTAGGTACCTTCTGCTTATTGCTTCACTTCCAACCTGCATACATAATCTAGTAATAATTGCTCAGGATACATTAGCTCTTAAATTGTTGCTTCCATAGATAACACAATTGGCATAGTAAATGACCATATTTAAGCAATAACACTTGAACAAAACTATAAGCTAAGGTCTAAGGAGCAGATTAATTTGCTTCTTAGTGGTTGGTTGAAGTTTTCTATGAAAAGGTCCCTTATCTTATCATTGTACACCTCTAACATGCTGAGAAACAACTCGTATTTGATGATATTGCTTTTCTTACTAGATGAGTTGAATCATTTCTCTAATGACCAATAGTTGAGTCCCATATTTTCAAGTGTTCCTTTCATTCTGGATGTCTTTCCAGTTCCCCTTTGTCCATAAGAAAAAAATGCATACATCTTAACCATCCAACACAGAGGTTTTAATTGGCATGGTTTCGTTCTATATTGCAAATATTGACGAAATATATTAGTATCTAGTATCAGATTTGTCTCATAGGTAAATGAGAACGTTCCCGATAAGAATATAGTTATCTTGACCATCATATGGTTTCAAAACATGATCAAACCTAAACTGTTTTCTAGAAGAATTAGAGTAGACTATTTGCATCTCATTTTCAAGAGACAAATCAAAGTCAACCACATATGACGGACAATTTGCAATATCATTAGGATTAATGATATGCACCTACATAAAACTCGTAAAATTCCCTAACTCAATCGCTTCTTTGTAGAGACATGTTTTCTTAGGGGCTGTTTGGCAACTTCTGAATAGGTAAGTGCTGAACGAGTAAGAGGTCTGAACCATTAAGTGCTGAACCAGTAAGAGGTCTGAACCATTAAGAGCTAGTATATTGCTTAACTATTCAGAGGCAAATATCTGATCAATTCAGATAAGAGCTCTTAACCATTCAGACTCTGTATAATACTTAACCATTCAGAGGCAAATCTCTTAACCATTCAGACATCTAAACCATTAAGAGACTGAAACAAACAGTCTGAACCATTAAGTGCTGAATCATTCAGACATCTGAACCATTAAGAGGCTGAAACAAACAGCCCCTTAGTGCACTAATCATCAAGTGCACTTATATATACGGAGTACAACATAGCAAAATCATCTGTATCTATTGGGATACACTTCTTGCACTAACAAAGTTTCTTGATATCTCATCCTCCAGTACAGATGAAAATGCAGTGTAAGCATCCATATTGTAGAAGTTCTACATGGTAGAAATATAATGCGCTAAAGTTAATCAATAAAGTACATAGATTAAAGCAAAAAATCTAAGATAGTGGATATTTTGAAGCACTTACGGGAATGAAAGGCACCATGAAGCACCTGCTCGAATCAATCAACCAAATAAAAAACTTTATAGGGATAAGAAATGCCATTAGGTTTTTGTTGATGCAAAAAAGATTATAACTCTTACTATATGTTTAGAAAGGTCAAGCAAACAAAATAGTGGAAATACTCTTAAAGTGCAAGAATAATAAATCTACAAAATGTAAGTTTTTTTGTGACATGTTTTAGTAAAAGGAAAATAATAAAGTTGAAAGCTTTTGGAAACTGAAAAAACTTAGGGGCTGTTTGTTTCAGCCTCTTAATGGTTCAGATGTCTGAATGGTTCAGACATTTGCCTCTGAATGGTTAAGTATTATACAGAGTCTGAATGGTTAAGACCTCTTATCTGAATTGATCAGACATTTGCCTCTGAATAGTTAATCAATATACTAGCTCTTAATGGTTCAGACCTCGATCTTACTGGTTCAGCACTTAATGGTTCAGACCTCTTACTGGTTCAGCACTTACCTATTCAGAAGTTGCCAAACAGCCCCTTAGTCTTCATACATACGGTCCCAATAACAGAAGAGCCAACAACATTCAAGCTTATTGTTAGAAAATAACACAAGGACAAGTATTAAAAAATTACAAAACTATTTACACTTTAATACACTTGTATTTTTAATTTCACCTCAATTTTCTATTTCTCTTCTAATGTCACACTAAGGCTTTTACAACTAGTTCTATAATGTTATCATTAATTAAAGTACTCCGTAACATATAAAAGCCCAAAAGAGTATGGGTACCATAAAATATGGGAGAGAAAAAATATCAAGCACATTAAATATTGAGCGACCTCAAATAGAATAAATTGGATATATTATGAGAAATTATCAAAAGTAATGTTGTTACATCTTTCCGCTTCCAAATGAAAGTATGTCTATTGAATCTAAAATAACAAAACAATTCAACAAAATGACACCTAAGGCTTACTCAAACAGTGAAATTGAAACCAAAGCTAAGAAACAAAAAAAAGAATAAGTTCAAAATATTACCTTGTAGGTTTAAATTTTTAGAAAAAAATTGATATGAAGAACAAGATCCATTGCAGCAAATTGATTACTTTTTGGGTAAGACTAATGATATAAAAATTGGATCTAAAAATAAAAACCTATAATAAAGTGCAAAGATGAGATGTGTCAATTCGGAGGATTTCAAAAAAAAGTCAAAGGCCATATTTGAAAAACCTAATCCGAAGAAATTGAAAAGGAAAACAGGGATACCTTCATTGATGGTGAAATATTTTACTACATTGGACAATCAAGGTGAACTGTATTCTTTTAGCAGTAGGTTGCGACTCTACAGAACGATGATCGATTAAAATGCAACAATGAACTATCATTGTTTTTTTGTTGAGATTGAAAAATTGGTCTGAAAAGATAAGTGTATTATATAGGCAACAGATTGAACAGTTGGTGTTAAAATATCTGCATTATAATACAGAAAAATATTCCCAGGTAGCGCTTCAGAATTGATCGAAGCCTGCTTAATTATATTTTAAAGGTTTAGAAAATGGACTTATAAAATGAGGTGTGTAAAGTGCCATGTTAAATGTCGTCCTTGTAGTAGCTAGTGAACCTTGATTTGTTAAAGATTCAAGTCTAATTCTATAACATGAGAGAGATCAAGTTGCAGTAGGTGACAAGTAGGAGGCTAGGAGGCTGGTGTTAGACATAAGTCGACAAGTAATACCAAATCACACGCATAGACATAGACCGATATCAATTGAATGAGCTTAAAAGCATTAGGATAATAAGGATATAGTAGGATATAAATTATTACTCCCTCCGTCCTAAAATTAATTTTCCAGTTTGACTTTTGTAGTCAAACTTTTTAAACTTTGACCGTATATTACGGAAAAAATATATTGAATTTTCATATAAATTTATAAGCAATAGATTCATTTTGAAACATAGTTTTGAAATAGATAATTTTTATAAAGTATATTTATATAAAAATTGAGATATTGATGGTCAAAGTGTCACATTGGAGACCGTGAAAAGTCAAATGAGAAATTAATTTTAGGACGGAGGGAGTATTAGGCTAAAATCCACCATTGCTCCTTCAACTTTATCAGTTGTGCACGATTGGTCCTTCAAGTTTCAAAAGTCCATAAATAGTCCTTCAACTTTATCAGTTCTGCACCATTGGTCCTTCAAATTTCAAAAGTCCATAAGTAGTCCTTCAGGTACACGTCAGCCTTCCAGATGAAGTTCTTTTGATAGTAAATATTAAAAGTTAAACGAAATACTAGTTTCATATAATACGAGTAAATTCCACTAGATACGATTACTCCGTATTATATGGAGCTAGTATTCCATTTAGCTTTTAACATTTATTGTAAAAAAGGACCTCATCTAGAGGGCTGACGTGTACTTGAAGGACTATTTATGCACTTTTAAAACTTGAAGGACCAATCGTGCATAACTCATAAAGTTGAAGGACTATTTATGGACATTTAAAACTTAAAAGACCAATTGTGCACAATTGATAAAGTTGAAGGACCAATGGTGGAGTTTAGCCTTATTATTATTATTATTATTATTATTATTATTATTATTATTATTATTATTATTATTATTACTCTCTCCATCCCAAAAAGATTTACACCTTTCAAAAAAATTGCGTCCCACAATCTCCTACCCATTTCTATTAAAAAACCACTTTTACCCTTTACTTTTTCAAACCCTATCTATCACATCATACTTTTTTCCTAATAATCTATACATCACATCCTACTTTTACTCATCGCATCAAGGGTATTTTTGGAAAGTCAACACAAAATTATCCCTCCTTTAATTTCAACTTTAGTCAAAATGTGTAACACTTTATGAGATGGAGGGAGTATTATATACCTTCCTATTGAATAATGAAGGTTCCAACCATATATATAACAAATAGAACAGAAAATCTTAATCATAGTAGACTAAGGAATTTTGGTAACAATAAAATAGAGAAGTAAATAAATAATATTCTATTTACTATTAACCTTATAATTCATAATAAAAAGAATCTATTTTATACAAGGTGTCCGTCACATACACTCATATGTATAGACCCAAAACACACACAAGTCATACAACACATATGGTAAAATTGAACGGATAATAACACACTAATGATCCAAAATAATTAACCATTGAACGGGAAAATTGCTCTCTAATCTATTTCAGTCCTCTGTGATGATTAGTTTCATGTGAATTAAGGAGAAAAAAATATATACACATGAATTACAACGTACAGTATCATTCATATCTCTTACCATTTTATATGGACCATTACAATCTTCTTCTAGAGAAGAGAAAGATTCATTAGAAATACAGTCTAAGGATATGGAAAATTAAAACTCTCTGCTCGAGAATTCTTGGCTTGACGCCCCAGATTTTTGTCCTTTAAATGTGTCTGGAGTGTAAGAATGAGAATCATAATCTGAACCCTGATCACTAGACCCAAACAATGCGCTCGGCACTGATTTAATTCCCTCGTTTAGATCATTCAATGAGACGTCACCTTCCAATGCTCGCACAATCTGCCAGACAGAATGTCATAATGTCAAACAAATTGATTTACTTATTTTTTACATATGACATACAAAATGTCATATGTATGTATGTATGCACCTGGCTCATTTTTGGACGCCTCCTAGCAGAATGCCTAATAGAAGCGGCTGCACAAACCACCATGCAACGCATCTCGTGGGAGTTGTATTCATTCTCCAAACGCGGATCCACTAGATCTTCAAAACTCCCACCACCATCTGCCGCACTCGTCAGAATGGGCCTTGCCTGCATGCATGCATGAGCGAGCGAAGAAGATCGGATCAGAGATGGGCATGCATTGCATGATATATATATATATATATATATATATATATATATATATATAAAGGTATGTATATTATGCATGTGTGTATATGCATGTACGTATAAAGGTGCATGCATATATATATACCCAGTCGGCTAAGTTGTCATCATCATCATCACTGTTAACATCTACAGGGCGTCGCCCCGTTATGAGTTCCAAGAGTACGACTCCAAAAGAGTAGACATCTGATTTCTCTGTCAGCTTCCCACTCGCTGCATACTCTGGTGCCAAGTACCTACATGCAGTCGATCGATGATTTGAATGATAAAACCACCCATTCCATTTTTTTTATTATAGAAACACATTCCAAGAGATCATCAAGATTAAATGTTACTAAAATGTGTAAATATTGATTACCCAAATGTCCCCATGATACGCGTCGAGACGTGGGTGTTGGTATCATTTGAGAGCTTAGCCAATCCAAAATCAGCCACCTATATAAGCACAAAAATAAAAAAAGTGGAACTAAAATGAGTTTGAATGTCGATTTTAATACTCTATATAAATACTCTAATCTTATTCACTTCCTTTGTCCCACTAGGTTTTTTCTAGTTCACTTTATGATATTTGATTGGAGTCATTTTTAGTTCATATTAAATGAAAATTGGTGTAGAATTAAAAAATAAAAATATATATTTAAAAATTAGATATAAAAATATCTGCAAAACAAGTGGTGGCAAAACTGTTTTATTTTATCAAATAATCAAAAAAATTAGGTCAAAAAGTCAATAAAATTTAACAGTGTAAATAATAACTTGGAAAAACGAACTAGAGACAGGGGAGATATATCTTTATCACAAAAAAATAAGAACAATGATCTAGTGAATGTTTGAGGTCTTCTAGATGGGTGTTTTTTATCCAATAAAATGTACTCCAAACATTTTAATTCTCAATCTACAATACACTTAATAAAATGAAACTCTTTAATGTTCGTTATAAAATGCTAAATTAAGTACTTTTAGAATATTGGAATAAGAATATTTCCCACTAAATTATGTATTACATGGTAGAGCATATATAAGAAAAACTCCTAACACAACTAGAAATAAAAAACGAAAACCAACTAAATTATTAGATTTACCATAAATTGAAATACTTAATGTTACTATCTAATATCCTCCCTCAAGCAGAGTCTAGCTCAAGTAAGAGTCGAAAATTGACTCCAAAGTCAAAATTAACTTGGGAGGTGTGTTCGGGTCGGGGCGGGGTGAGGGTTTACCGGGGGGTTAGGGGTGTAGGAATCGTCAATTTTACGAACGGGACACCAGAGCACCCCCGGATCATCCCATGACATTGGTTCTCAATGTCATGGAACCGGCCCGAAGTATATATAGTAACAATATACTAAATATACGGAGTACTAAAAAAGTATTTCTGTCTCGTTTGCAATAATATCGACCTACAACTTTGATTTTTTCTTTATAACCGTGTTGATTCGATCATAAAACTTATTTATGGGACATATGAGTAAGATAAGATAGGAATGATTGTGAAGTGCAAAAATATGACTAAATTGAAAGGAGACAAAATTAATGAAACAAACAAAAAATATAAAACGAGACAAAAAACAGTGCAACAAAAGGGGTAATTTATGAAGTACCTTGGCATCAAAATTGTAGTCCAAGAGAATATTTGCAGCCTTAATATCCCTGTGTATAATTCGAGGATGGCCTGCAATTCAAACAAACATTTCATATTTCTTCAATTGGAATGTTTATCATTTCCCATGACTAAATTAATTACAAGCCTTCATCAACTCACAATCTTCGTGGAGATAAGCAAAACCTTTTGCTGCTCCAAGTGCTATCTTAAGCCTCGTTTGGAAGTCCATAACAGGGCGATCTGGTCCTGCATTATACAGAGTGGGACTTTAAAAAAAGTGGGACTCCATGTCCAATGAAGAGTCTCATTTTGACAATATTAATGTTTGCTCTTACATAAATTGCATTATAGATAAAAACCAAGAGAGCATTAAATTCTGTGTGCTTGGGTCCAAAGTGGGACTAGCCTATTTTCTTGTTCTTCTTCAATGCTATTAAAAGTCTTATGAGCTAGCTGACTAGGATGAGAATGTGTTCCACTCTTTGCCACCAATCTGTGATTAAAGTCTAATTTACCTCCTCTCAGTGACCGTCCGGGCAGGTTTGAGTGAGCCCTCGGGGATGGGGCTCATCCTTTTTATAAAAAGTATGTAGGTCCACAATGAAACTTTTGCTCAAAGTTCACAACCTTTAACTAAAATACGCCATCCGTCCAAAAATTATCTTCCCGTTGCGCGTTATGATGTTTGACTGGAATTGTATTCAAATCAATTTATATGAAAAATGGTGTGGAATTAAAAAATTAAAGTTACATATTAAAAAACTACATCAAAAGATCTACAAAACTAGAGGTGACATCACTCTATTATTTTATCAAATGGACAATGAAAATAGACCAACAAAGTGAATAATGTTTGACCTTGTGAATAGTGAATGAGAAGATAATTTTTGGACGAATGAAGTATTTAAAAGAATAAACAATACTATAAATCTGTTTGGGAAGATCTTCATTGTTTTGAAAAAAATCTAACAACTGTTTAGTCTTGCAAATTAAATGGCACACTCGCATGTACTGTATATCTTGGCAAACTTCTAACTAAAAAATATTTTAGAACGAACACTATATTATATTATTTCAAAATGAACACTATATGTTATTTCAGAATGAATATACCACACAAAACATGCTTGGAATGAGCACTACGTTGCTTCAGAATAAACATTACGTTGATTCAAAATGAACATTTGCTGGATGTACCTAGCTCTTGTTACACCCAGATGTATAATATAGATTCTCATTCAGTTTTAGCAATTTCAAAGTTAATTTTTACTATTAGTGAATTATGAAAAAAAACAAACACTAATTGAAAATAGTGTTCCCAAACAAGTCCTATGTTCCAAATGTAAACTTTATTTTTCAAATCTACTCCATTCGTTCCAAATAAATTCCTGATTGATGTCTTAAAAATATACTCCCTCCGTCCCAAAAAGATTTACACCTTTCAAAAAAACAGCGTCCCACAATGTCCTACCCATTTCTATTAAAAAACCACTTTTACCCCTTACTTTTTTAAACCCTACCTATCACATCATACCTTTTTCCTAATAATCTACACATCACATCCTACTTTTACCCATCACATCAAGGGTATTTTTAGAAAGTCAACACAAAATTATCCCTCCCTTAATATTAACTTTAGTCAAAACGTGTAAATCTTTTTGGGACGGAGGTAGTATATTTTTGGTGTTATTTTCTAAGTATGATTCATTTATTCCTGCACATCATATCATATTCTATTACAAAATAAGAGTAAAATTAAAAAATAACATCAAAACTATACATTATTAATGCATGCTTTTTTTAAAACAGGAAAGATTTTAAAGACCAGAGGGAGTAATATTTAATATATTTATTTATGCATATTTAAAGATACTTACGACCAAAATATTATGTTGAAGATTGATTGTAAAAGGTTTAAGAAAGATGTTTGTTTTAGAATAGAGAAAGTTAAAAAATCATCTTTGCTAAAGAGCTTGTAGTCTAGTGATATAATTGGAGTGCTTCTTTGGTGCACCTTGGATGTATATTAATTTTGTGGACCTTCTTACATAAAAAAAAAATTTTATTTGAAAAAACAAATGTTTATTTAAGTAGTAAAGAAATGCTTATTTTGCTCATATGTTGGTTCATGGTGGACCTTAGGTCCACCATAGAATTTTCCATATAATTGTGGCTTACCCAATTGAGAGGTCAAGGATTAAATTCGATTTCCAGCCGAGGCAATAACTCTGATCTTTAATACGGAGTAATTAAACTAAAATCTCAACCTTGTGAATGTTTTAGTCTTGCACGTGAAATACTAAAAGTTTTTATGACGGTATTTCAAACTCGTGACTTCTCGATCAAGAATCCTCTGGTCATCAACCAAAAGCTGAAAGCTATTGTTGTAGGTTCAGAAAATATTTTTGTATTCTACTCCTTCCGTCTCCCATAGATCTTTCCATTAGACCTTTTTCTTTGTCCTCCATAAAACTTCTCATTACCTTTTTAACATTTAAAATATTATAAGTATCATCACTTACTTTATTTATTATACTAATTTCTAATAAGGATATTTTGGTAAATTTTCATCTTTTTTTAACTTTTTCTAAAAACTACTAAAAGTCAGATTTTAGGGAATGAAAGGAATAACGTATAGGTATATGGATAAAATGTTGACGTAGGCCCCGTTTAGCATCAACATTAGAGATTAGCGTTAGCATTTTGAAAAGGTTATCCGACGGTAGCATTTAACGTTAGCGCTTTCAGAATCAATCTATACCATTAAAATTTTATCCATAACACTAACGCTAAGTCGCTAATCGAAAATACGGTTAGCAAACAAGGCGGTACGTAGTAATTAATTACTTACTTACCCTGGAGATGAAGATGGTGTTCAAGAGTATTGTTGGGGACAAACTCGTAAATGAGCATCCTCTGGGCACCAGAAATGCAATACCCGACCAAAGAAACGAGGTGGCGGTGGTGGACGCGGCTGATGATCTCCACCTCCGCCTGAAACTCCCGCTCTCCCTGCCCGCTGTTCGACTTGAGGCACTTCACGGCGATGTCCTTTCCGTTGGGCAACACCCCTTTGTACACGTACCCAAACCCCCCTTGCCCCAACAGCTTCTCCTTCGAGAAACCGCCGGTCGCCGCCGCCAGGTCCTCGTACATGAAGCTGCTCTGGTTGAAGCCCAGAGCCGTGGACGGATGCGGCGGCGGCTTTGCCGGGCCGGAGAACGCTGCTGAGCTCATGTCGCTGCTGTGCAGCGGCGGCGGAGGCGGGGGCGGCCCGATCGGCCACGTGTGCTCTGAGCTCACGCCGGCGCTGTGTGGTGGCGCCGGCGGCATCTTCACGAAGTAGTCGCTCGCTTGCGTCTGATTTGGGTGCCAATTCCCGTAATGCCCTTTGTACCCATCACTCCCTGTATCATGATCAAATTAAAAAAAAACTAAGTCGTTGTGGTTGCTGGTTATTTTAGTGGGGAGAGTATTTTTTCAATTTAACTTTTAGTTAATCATAAAATATATTCCATTTGACTTTTCTTGAAAGTTAAAAATAGTGTTGAAAAATGAAAAAGATGTGACTAAAATTCTAAAGAGAGAAATTTTTATAGACACAAACTCTTTATTTTAAAAGAAATGTGACATTTTTTTGGAGATGAATGGAAAAAGAAAATAACTACTTCCTCTATCGGGATATTCTTCCCAATTGTTTTTCATTGGTCAAAGTTTGTAAACTCTGACTTTGGAATGTGAGAAATACATTATACGGAGTATTATGATACAAATTTAATATTAATATAGTCTTATTGAAATGTAATTTTCAAATATTAAATTTTTATACTCCCTTTGTCCCTAAAAGAATGAAAGAGTTCACCATTCAAGAATCTCAAGTACTTTTGTTTATTCTGAAAATTTGCACTAAATAGGACTAAAACATAATGACTTTCTTAATGTAGGACTTAAACTTTTTTATTCCCTAAATAGGAATTAATAATGACCTAGTGGAAAGAATAATGTCCTGTAATCATGAACATTTAGTTGAATAATGACTACTTGATAATAACTAAAGGTCCTACATTGGGAAATAAAAACATATGGTCCTATATTGAGAAAGGCATTATGTTTTAGTCATATTTAGATAAATTTCTCTTGTTTATTTGCACAATTTTATTGATTATTTGAAAAAATATAATATTCTTGTCAATTTTTTTGAAGACCTTTTGATGTAATTTTTAAATATGTTAATCTAATTTTTTATTTCATTTTCAGTACGACTATTTAAATAAAATGAATTGGAGTACTCAATTTTTTAAACAAAAAATTATACGGAGTATTTTATTATAATTTACCTAAATAGGACTAAAACATAATGACTTTCTCAATATAGGACCATATGTTTTTTTTCCTCAATATATGACTTTTGGTCATTATCAAGTAGTCATTATTCAAGTAAATGTCCATCATTACTGGACATTATTCCTCCCACAAAGTCATTATTAAGTCTTATTTAGGGAATAAAAAAGTTTAAGTCCTACATTAGGAAAGTCATTATGTTTTAGTCATGTTTAGTGCAAATTTCACTTTTATTTTTAGACGAGCGAGCGCACGTTGATGATTCATACATACCTTTGCGAGGAGAATTGTCCGTGTAATAACCCATTTGGTTATGGAGCGGCCTTCTTTTTTTCCGTTTGCAGCAAGAGATGAAGAACACTAACATTACAAGAAGCAACAACGCTGCTCCGGCCGCTACTCCGGCGGTGATGGCGATCTCACTGCTGTTATCGTTAGATGCCCTGTCGTTATTTGATTTGTGGTGCTTGGGATGCGGCAGCGGTTTGGAGTGGGGCGGCGGAGGAGGAGGAGGTGGTGGAGGCGACGAGTCCCCGGGTGGTGGTGGGGATGAATTATCGGGCGGCGGAGGCGGGCTTTTGCCGGAGTTCGGCGGAGGAGGCGGCGATGGTGAATTACCCGGCGGAGGCGGCGGGGAGGAATTGTCAGGCGGAGGCGGCGGGGAGGAATCGTCGGGCGGAGGAGGAGGAGGCGATGATGAATCATTATTATTAGGCGGAGGAGGGGAGGATGAATCATCAGGCGATGGAGGAGGGGAAGGTGAATCATCGGGCGGTGGTGGCGCAGCCGGTGGCGGGGGAGATTCTTGAGGCGGCGGCGGGGAAGACATCCTTGCCCTATCCTAAGCCGGAACCCAAAACTATGGGGCCCTGCCTATCTCCAAAAATGGTACCTGCTGGTATATGGTAAACCAAATGCAATAACATCACATGCATGCATGATATACATATATTACACCCAATAACAATAATGCATTTTCTGAAAAATAACATTAAAAAAGTATATTTGTGTCATGTATCGAGAAACTATATTTGGAATTAGAATATAATGATGATATAATAATACATCAAATGAAGGAATTATTAAGGTGGCATATGGGGAAATGGGAAAGGGAATTGGAAGCAAATTAAAGATGTTACCTGTAGGAGAAGGGCAGGGGAAAGTTTGAAAGGAAGGAGAGAAAAGAGAAGTTGCATGCACGGTAATTGTTTCAAAATAAGAGGCCAATTCAATTGATGAGCCGTCTTTCCATCATCCCCTTATTACACCATCTCTCTTTCTCTCCATTAAACATAAGCCTAACAGTCTCCCCATTTTTTGAATTATTTCCTAAGGTCATTTGCCAATTCTTGCATTATTTTTGGGTATGTAGCACAAATTAATAAAAAAAAACTATGTACCACAATCTAAACTATTTCTCAAAATTCTAAAGCTCGATCTCTTATGTTTGCCTGATCATATTTATTATGATCTAATTTTTTTTGAAAATGTGGTAATCTGACTTGTTGGGTCTATTCTGGTCTAATCTGATGAGATTCGAGCTAATCTGATTGGATATGATTTGATTTGAATTGATCTTATATAATATGGTCTAAATAGGAGTTAAAATTATTATTATTATAACTTTATTACTATTGTGATTACTTTTATTATTATTATTATTATTATTATTATTATTATTATTATTGTTGTTGTTGTTGTTGTTGTTGTTGTTGTTGTTGTTGTTGTTGTTGTTGGTCTTGTTATTATAATTACTATTGATTAATGTGTTTTGTGAATTAAAAGTTGTACTAACATAATACTTGTGTTCAAAGTCGTACTAACATAATATTTTATTTGTAGTTGTCCCGAAACTCTATGATACTCTTGTTCTCTTTCTCATCCATGTGAAGATTTTCAAATTAAATATGGTCATTAGGATATGATATTTAGCTGTCTTGACTCGCTCGTTTCTTTTGAGGATTGTTTCGAGGATTTCCCACGCTTTCTTTGCCTCAGATCAGTTTACAATTAGTCTATGTTCAAAATTGTCAACTGCCCCGAATAAGGCATTTTAATGCCTTATCATTATATTCAGCACCTGATGCTTCATCTTTTGAATATCCTTCATATGCCATGAGTATTCTAACTTCAGAGCCATCAACTGCTTTCATATGAGCTTTTTAGCCAGTTTCAACAATTCTCCAAACACGTTCTCCTTGAGATTTGATAAAAGCTCTCATTCGTCCCTTCAAAAAGTTATAGTTTGGTCCTCGCAAGAGAGGTGACCGCTGAACATTTCCTCCTTCCTCCATAACACCCATAGTGGAACTTGAGCTCGCTAAAATGATGCTTCATCTTTTGAATATCCTTCGTATGCCATGAGTATTCTAACTTCAGAGCCATCAACTGCTTTCATATGAGCTTTTTAGCCAGTTTCAACAATTCTCCAAACACGTTCTCCTTGAGATTTGATAAAAGCTCTCATTCGTCCCTTCAAAAAGTTATAGTTTGGTCCTCGCAAGAGAGGTGACTGCTGAACATTTGCTCCTTCCTCCATAACACCCATAGTGGAACTTGAGCTCGCTAAAATATTAAGCTCATCTGTCTCTAATACCAATTGAAAACTAACGGGGGATATCTGTTACCATACACAACAAGATCTGTATATCATACCCAACCAACAACTACAAAAGAAAGACAAATGAGGGATTTTCATGTATCAATTTTGTTTGACAAGGCTGTGTAATGAATTTTTTCATAGAGCATGCTGCACATGATACGTTTTGTGGCAGTAAGATTTTTAAATTTGTGAGTGGATGCCAGTTCCCATTTTTATTATGCTTCTCATCATTGTACTGCCAGGGTGACCTAGTCGGTCTTGTCATATGGTTAATGTGTCTTTATCTAGCAACTTCTCATAACTTGCCATATATGACTCAATAAGATTAATATTGGTATAACATATTTCAGAGGATAAAGCTTATAGCTTTTCTAAAAATTTCTCATGGGAAATAATTTGTAGGTATTCTCTACTATTTTCAGATGTGGTTTTGAGGTGGTAACCGTTTTGTCGAATATCTTTGAAACAAAGTAAATTCCTTTTGTATTTACTTGAGTATAATGTATCATTTATACTATATATATATATATATATATAAAATATATATATATATATATATATAATATATATATATATATATATATATATATATATATATATATATTGCAAAAAACGAAAGTTATATTTTAATTTAGTTCTTTAAAAAAAGAAAATCATTTCCTCAATATTAATCCAATTAAACTATTATTTCATTTGAAATTATAAGATAAAAAGGAGCAATTTCGAATAAACGAGGACTAGATAGCATTACCCGATAGCAAAGTTTTCAAAAATAGGATAGAAAAAATATTACGGAGTATGAGTCAAACAAACAATGGCATTATGAATTTATGATGTTGACCAAACTTTGTCTTCCCATATACGGAGTACAATTTTAGTCAAAAGATTTGAAAAATGCTAGAGTTACAAACATATAGTTTCCAAATTCACAAACTTGCCTTTTGTGGATTTTAAATTAAAATATATTTTATTATTTGAATACATCTTATTTCTAGAAAAGCATTAAAAAGACAAGTTTGTAAATTTTGTGAAATATTTGTTTATGAATCTAGCATTATTCAAAGATTTCTCAATTTTTATACAAATAAAATGAGGTTTCCTTAATAATAAATTAAAGATCCTTAATACTGCTAATTAAGTGAATGGTTATATTCCTAATATAATAATAAAAAGATCCTTAAAATATTTCAAACACATAGTACTGCGAATCTCTGATTGTCATCTTCCTTAAATAAAGCTCCGATTAAACTTCCTTAAATAGTACTCCAATTCAAGTACTCCGTATTATTTTGACCTACCTGCTACAAAGAGTCATTGTATACCGGAGTAATCCTAAATATTGTCACAGTTTAACTTTTTGTTCAAACTGTATTAATATTTGATCATTAATTAAATATACTTTAAAATAGTTAAATATAAAAAAATGATAGTTCAGAAGTTTATATATTAAGATAAATCAAATTTTACTAAAATTATAATATAATTAAATATAATTTTTTCATAAGTCACGATAAAAGAACTACAGTTTGACTAAAAAGATCAAACTTTGTTGATCTTTTAGGAAGGGAGTAATATTTAATGTTTGACTGTTGGGAAGGTTTAATGTTTTACTGTTGAAATGCGTTTGTGATTCGCGGCGTACGGAGTATAACTTCACTACCCGGATATGACGGAGTACGTACTCAAAATTAATTACGGTAATACCAAGTTTTCAATTATTTAGGGATATACCATAATTGAAAACATATATAGTACTCCCTCCGTTTTTTAAAGCCCTTCCTCTTTCATTTTTTTTGTTTTTCTTAAAACACTTCCCCTTTCTATTAAAAAACCACTTTTACCCCTACTTTTTCATACCCTACCTATCACATCATACTTTTTCACTAACAACTAAACTATCACATCTTACTTTTACCTATCACATCAAGGGCAAAATTGGAAAGTCAACTACAATTTAACACTTCCTTATTTCCCCCCAAAGTCAAAAGAGGAACTATTTTGAGAAACGGATATAGTACTTGAAAATTTATAATGAACGGATAAAGTGCTTATTATTATTATTATCATTGTTATTTTTATTGTTATTATTATTATTATTAATTTATTATTATTATTATTATTAGTGTAATTGTTGTTTCTATAATAATAATAATAATAATAATAATAATTACTATAACTATTATTGTAATTATTACGGAGTACTGTATTATAATTATTGATTTAGCATGTTCCCCATTTCTTGGTGTGATCAGTTTTTTTAAACTTTGTTTTGAGGGCATATTTTTTAAACATACACCGGAGTGTTACTTTCTTAGGGAGTTGTATGTAATTATGTATTTTAGTTTTAAGTTAATTAAGGTATATATTTTTAGATATTATTGGTCAAAGTTTGCAAAGAGAAAAAAGGAAAGATAATCTAAAGGATCAAATGAGATCAATTAAACTACTAAAATCATGTACTCCGCGTATACCTTCCTCCTAATTAGCCTCGGGTAAATTTAATACCGGACACAATAAACCCTATGCATATATATTATGGTGATGAGAAGTCTACTTATATCCTTATATTTATGAACTTCATTGTTGTCACTTAAGGTAGGGTTCTTTTTTTTTGTTTCTCCCGACAAGCTTTTTTGTCTTCCTTTCTAATGAATTTGGTAATATTACAATAATACATATATTTACACTCCTAGTTTTATATTTGGGCATATATAATCAATCCATTGCATGTTTATACATTTTGTTTAATACTTACATACATAATCTTCATGTTTTTTTTTTCTGGTTTTCCTGATGCAGAGCGATGGGGCGTGCCAAGCTAAACTTGAGGCTAATCCCAAATGCAAAACAACGAAATTTGACGTTCAAGAAAAGGAAGGAGGGAATATTGAAGAAAATGAATGAGTTCACAACGCTTTGCGACGTGAACGCATGCATAATCATTTACGGGCCCCAGTCGTCCGAGCCCACAATTTGGCCGCCACAACGATCCGCGGTTGAACGGATGATCGAGGCGTACAGGGAGAAGGGCTCGGACAACGGGACCCGGTCCTACGGGTTGCCCGATTTCTATATGGGCCGAAAGAAGAAGGTCGAGGAAGAGGTGAAGAAGTTGAAGCAGAAGAAATTGGAGGCCAAGTACCCGACTTGCCCGGAGTTGCTCGACGGGTTGTCGAAACCCGAATTGGAGAGCTTTGTGAGCTTCTTGAATGGGAAACTTCAAGCTTCAAACTCTAGACTTGAGATGATTCATGGGATGCTCATCAATGATAACCACATCAAGGAGTCACAAGAGGAACCACTCTTATTGTGTCATCTTCAAGAGGATGACTACTTGGTTAATAATAACAACATTAGTTTCTATGATCCTAATTTGGAAAATTTAGGGTTTGGCAAGCCACTTCAACAAG